TTGTTGAGTTTTCCTCATACCCTGATAACCACATTCTTCACGTAGTACAGTTTCTTGAATGATGTGCTCAGTGTACAGAGTGAACAAATACAGAGAAACTGTCCAGCCCTGCTACACACCTCTCGATTTTAAACGGCTGAAACGCATGGCTTTCTCTTCTTCCCAGAGAGGGAGGAAAGGGGGAGGTTGGTCCACTGACACCACAGATGGTGGGCGTGAAACGCCGCTTACTCCAGGGGAAGAAGGCGTGACGATCCCGGGAAGGAGAGTGTGAGGTTTACTGGTCCCATAGAGGGAGAGGAGGGCTTAAAGGGTTCCCTGATCCCAGGGAGGGAAGGTGTGAGGGTCCCCAGCCTCAGGGAGGGATGACAGATGGTTCGCTGGCCACAGAGGGTGTGGTGAGTTACGGGCTGCAGGAGGCCGTTGCAGGGCCTTATGTACAGGTCTCCACGATTGGCTTCAACACCCCAGAAGGAAGTGCTCTTTTTGAAGGTCAGGTGATGCTCTTCAGATTGGTCTTGTTTGCTTATGATAGTGGCCCTTGTGGCCTTTGGAGCCTTCCTGCCTGTCCCTCCAGCTCCCAGTTTGCAGCTGTGTCCCCCCTCTTCCTCCTCTGCGTCCTATGGTGCCCTCTGTGGTTTCGCCATGTCTAGGAGATTGACAGTCTGGGGCTTTGCTCCCTCATTTGCTTTAGGTTATGGGTGGAGGCTAGGAGTGAACTGGCTCAGGGCCTGCGCTCCTGGCAGCCTGGGGCCCGAGGCCTGGGCTCCTGCCTCTTTAGCCTGAGGACTGACATGGAAGGACTGCTCAGCACAGGGGGAGCCCTGGGGTGGGGGGGCTGACTTCTTGGTCTCAGTTGGGCTTCATGGCCAGGCATCCTGGAGAGCAGCCTTAAGCTGCCCTATGTGGGCACACCCTCACCAGCTCTCCCTATGACCCAACGAGCACAGCAGACCAGGCTGCCAGGGGTCGGGGCCTCCCGGCTTGAAGGAGGCTCAAGGGATTTCCTGTGACATCAGCCCTGTGAGATGCTTGGGCCCCGTGTTGTCATGTTCTTGTAGTTTCCAAAGTCAGGAGTGTTCCTGAGGGGGTACTACTGAGAGAGTGAGTGTCCAGTCCCCATGCACACCCCCCGGCCCCGACCCTGCGTGCTGCCCACCTGCCCTGCAAAGGCAGGCTTTAGGAGCTGGGCTCTCGGACCTCGCCCCGGCCTCTGGGAACAGGACCTTCCCACCACGCCTGTCGGGTAGTGGCAGCTCGTCGCAGGAATGGACACAGCAGGGCAGGTGGCTTCCAGCATTTACTCCACAGCCGTGTGACCCCCCAGCCCCACAAGTCCAGGTGCGCAGGCCTGTGAGAGCGGGCGCGTGTCTACGCCTGCAGAAGCAGTGCCACCGCTGCCAGCACCCACTTGGCCGCCTTCTCCTTGGTCTTGAGGTTGAAGGTCCACACGTAGGTGGGGCCGCGGAGGCGCGTTTTGTAGACGGGACACTCATAGATGTTCTTGGTCTCCATGCGGTCCACAGGGATGGCCTTGATGAAGATGACCGGCATGGCCGGTGTCAGCTCCTTCAGCCGCGCTTCTGTGATGACACCCGTCTGCGTGTCCCAGCGAGCGCCTGTGGGGACAGCATGGCCCATCGTGAGTGCTCCCTCACCACAGGACCCCCGTCTGGCTGCCGTGTGCTGGCGGTGCTGTGGGGCCTGGAAGCAGGAGCGGGCCGGCTCTGGCTGACCCTGTCCACCTGCCCTGCTTGAGGGACGGCTGGCAGCTCTGCCCTCACCACCTCCCGAGCCTGTCCGTCAGCCTCTTCCCGCGGCAGGAGCGCTCCCTCCAGCAGACCGTCACAGGCCCTGTGTGCCATGGAGGGTGACGCTGTGTCCGAGGATGCCCAGCCGCCTGCTGGCCCTGCTCCCCGCGTTTCACGCCTGTGTCCTGTCTGCAGTTCCACAATAAACATGGAGAATGTCTGGACTGGGCTTGTCTGGGGTGACCGCGGATGGGGTTCTGGGAGGGGCCTGCTACACAGACACCGCCCTGGGCTTTGGAGAGGTGGTCAGTGCGGCCTTCCCCTCAGGCGCCCCTGAAAAACCTTATTCTCACAAACACCCTGCCCCAGGATTGAGGGTCCCTTGCCCACAGCACTGACACCTCCTGGGAAGCAGGATTCAAACATGACGAGTGGAATGTGTGTTTCCTCAGGCCTCTGAGTGTGTTTTCAGACACGTGTGTCCTGGCGGGCTCCATGCTGCTGCCCCCTCCGCCCACCGTGGAAGAGGCGCCCACCTGCAGCATCCCGCCTACCTTCCATGAACAGCCCATACACGTAGGAGCCCTCACGGGGCGGGGCGGTCATGTCCTCCCGGGTCTTCTTGGTCACCTCCACAGACAGGCACATCTTATCCAGGGGCCACTCGTTCTTCCTGGCCATGGACTGCATGATGGCTGTGAGGAAGGACTGGGGATTGAAGAAGCCGGCCAGCCACACGGTGGTCGGCAGCACGAAGTCTGTCGTCCAAGCCTCGAGCTCCTGGAAGGAAGTGGACAGAGCTGGGAATCCACCAGAGCACCTGGCGGGCAGCTCAGCTCTGCCACTGTCCTGTGACGAGGCCGTCTGGCTGGCTCCGTTTTCAGGCACAGTGGGGAGACAAGGTCAGGGAGGGAGTACGTGGACATGTGGACTCTCCCAGAGTCCATCTGCTCACACCTGGTTTTCTACTTGGCTCAGAAATGCCCCCCATTGTCCTGGCCTCTGAGGGGTCTGCCACTCTGCCAAAGGCCTGGCCACCCGGATACTCTGGCAGGTCACCCTCTCCCCTCCCAGCGTGGCCCCAGGCCCTGCGTGCTCAGCCCCGAGGACTGTCCATACCCGGGTGCGGAGCAGCAAGTCCGAGTACCAGGCTGCCAGCCCCATCATGGAGGGGTAGGCCCGGGCCATCCATGTGTCCGGCACAGTGTCATAGAACAAAGCTGTGGACAGGTCCTCCATGTCCGTCGTGATGGTCAGCTCCCCCTGGAACACACAGATGGGTGCTGGGGGCCAGTGCGGTGGTGACCGCACCCCACGGCCTTTAGGAAGGCTCATGATGGTGTGCCATGTGGGTTCTTCTGGACCCCCAGCTGCCCAGGGCCCCGCAGGTGACCCTGACCACCTGCACTGGAGCCCTCAGGGTCGGGGCCTGAAGCAAGGCAGTGCTGTGCCCGTCCCTGAGAACAGACCTGCTCCATCGGGTGCGTGCCCACTGATTCCCTCAGGATGCGGGCGGAGGAGGGCAGGGAGGCAGCCCCACACCCGAGTGAGGGCCACGGGCTGCTGGCCGGCCTGCCTCGGGACCCAGCCCTGGCCGCGGCCCCCCACACCGTACCTTGAGCCCCAGGCTGAGCTCCTTGAGCGAGCGGCGCATCTCATTGGTCAGGATGTTCATCCTCTCACACTCCTGCAGGGCCACCACCACGTAGGGCGTCTTCTCCACGGCCTTGCTCGTGATCTCCGCCATGTTGAAGGTCTCTGGAATCTTCTCAAGAATGTCATCCAAGACCGCCTTCACCTGCAAGGCCCCGAGAGTCAGAGCTCCCAGGCCAGAGAGGGGGACCTGGCCCCAGCAAGGCCGCCATGGGGTACTGCTGGGCGGCCTAGGAGCTGTGACTCCTCCGTGTGCCCGACCTGGTATCCCTGCAGCTCGCTCCCCCCGGGTTTGACTGTTCATAGCAGCGGCTGGGTCACACGCACGCAGACACGACCAGCCAGCTGCCCTCCGAGGCGCTCGCTGGGGAGGCAGCACTCGGGCCAGCAGCCTTTTCCTTGTCTCCATGTGATAAGCATTTGCCCCCTTGGACTACACGATGGAAACTACCGTTCTCTCGTGGGAGCCCACCCTTGGCCACTGTGTGTCCGCCAGGGCTTAGTGCCCAGGTGTGGGGGGCTGTGAACCTGCACAGGACACACACCGCCCATCGTTCTCAGTCCCTGGAAGGGACACCTCCGATGGTGCTAAGGGGACCAGATTCCCTCCCCGCCTGGGAGACTATGGACTGATCCTCAGCCCTGACCATCCCGCTGCCTCCCCCAGGCGGGCGGTCAGTCCCCCCCCAAGCCCACTTCCTCATACTGCGGGCCCCACCAGGAGGTCAGCCTCAGGAGGTCCAGGCTATGGCCAGAATGGGCCGTGCAAATGAGCCCCAAGTACAGCTGACTGTCCCACCTGCCCCATCCCGGGGTCCAGGCACCCAGGCTCCAGCCCCTTCTCCTGGGGACACTGCCCGTCCTCCATGCCATTCCCTGTCCCGAGCCCTCAGGCCCTGCCTTTTCCTCTCGAGACACTCCGGTGCCCGCCCCCGAGTCGGTCTCTTTGGGCTGCATCTCCAGGACAGTACGGAAGAGCTTCTCTGAGGTGACAGTCAGAAAGCCTATCTCTGCATTGGGGTGCAGGCCGTACAGGTAGGGACTCTCAGGGGGCAGGTTCTCGTCGATGTATTCATGGTAACCCTGGAAAGACCAGCAGGTAATCAGCTGCCACACGGCAGGCAGGGCACCTCAGTCTGGTCTGTCGGGTGAGCTGAGCCAGGGTCCCCCACAGCCTGCCCTCTGTGGACTACATGACCCCCACTCCCTACTGCAGAGAGGAGACTCCCCCCCTCCCCAGGGCTGCGGTTCAAGTTCTCTCTTCTGGATCTGAGACATCTGTTAGTTATTGGTGCATTCACGCTGGGGTCTTGCCCCGCTGCCATGCCTGGAGCTTGGCCATGCCTAATCCGGTGCCCGCCCCCAGCCGAGGCCCCCTGCCTCACCTTGTAGTCCAGGTTCGGGGGCGTCTGGAAGCCGGGGGCCAGCTGCACGTCCCCTTCCAGCATCTCCCCCCGCAAGTACTCTTCTAGATAGGTCCTGCAGAGCCGGCGGTCCCAGTCGTCTGTGATGTGGCCTCCATACATGATCTCACCAAAAAGGTAGCGGAGGTCATCCCAGGGCACCTGAGGGACATGGACCTTCAGGAAACACCACCCCTTCTGGCCCAGCAAAGGCAATGGTGCTGTGTCGGCCCTGCACCAAGCCACCGTGGGGATGCTGGGGTCACCCCATCTCATGAAGGGCCTCCCTTACGTGTGCACACACTCCACCCTGTCACATGATGTCCTCCTGGGTGTGACTTGGCCTCATCAATGTATGTTCCTCTGAGTGTTAAAACTCAGGAGGTGACAGACAGGAGTGACCGCTGGAGAGAGGCAGCGGGGGGGGGGCACACACACACGTGCCATGACATTATGGGAGTGTAGCCCACGTCTTGGACCACAAGGTGCAGAAGTGGTTGGACAGAACTCGTTTGCTCTAGATAATCTCACTGAAAGCACAAAAGGTCTGAGATCTTGAAACGCGTCTCCTGACTTCAAACATCTCTTCATGTGTTTGTTTTGAAGATGTTCATTGCTTTTTCACCATTTACTGGTTTGCTGGAACAGCTATTTTTAAAAGTTGTTGGTAAACATGTGGTGACAAGACATTGCTTCTACGTGCTCGGCGTGCATGCGACACACAGACCTGTCATGTGTGGCACAAACATCACCTCCCAGTTTGTGGCTTGTTTTTTCACTTTTTAAAAGATTCCCGTCAATAAAAATCGCCAATTTTCCAGAAATTGTAGGGAAACTCTTTAGGACAACCCACCATATAAGGTCAGAAGACAGAGTCCTGAAGGCGAGGAAGGGTCGGAAGCAGCAGATGACTGACAGGGAGTTCCGGGGAAGTGGGCTTCCACTGAAGGGCCTGTCACTGTTGCTCTGAAGCACATGCACGAACTGCTTCAATGAAACCCAGTCTGCCTGTAAACTTCTGTTCCAATTAAAAAATGGAAAACACGTAGGTGACAGTACACGTGCTTCTGCCGTCTTCCCCTGCCCAGTGATGGGTTGTCGCGCTGGTCAGCTGACACTGTGGGCCATTCTGAGCGTTCTGTCACCCTGAGCAGAGGCAGGGTGCCTGGACCCCCTCCACCTCACCCCATGTGCTACCTACCTCCTTGTCTCGCTCCTGCACCAGGGCTGGGTGGAGGAGTTGTTATGTGTTGTGAAATCACCTGGGACTCACAGTGACCCTGTAGGGCCATAAACCCTGCTTTACCCTGTGCCATCTTATCTCCAACATGCCTATCCCCATTACCCCAGTGATGGAATCAATCCATCTCACCGAGGGTCTTCCTTTCTTGTGCTGTTCCTCCACCCTCCCAAGCATGATGTCTCTCTCCAAGGACTGGTCCCTCCTTGCAACATGTCCAAAGTATGTCAGATGAAGCTTCAGAATCCTTGACTCCAAGGAGCAGCCTGGCTTCACCCTCTCCAGGATGAACTTGTTTGTTCTCCTAATAGTCCAGGGTACATTCAATACTCTTCTCCAGCACCATAGCTCAAAGGCATCAATTCTCCTTCTATCATCCCGTCATTGTCTAGTTCTCTGATGCCTAACAAGTGATAGAAAGACCATGGCTGTATCAGGTGCACCTTAGTCTCCAGACTGACATCGTTGCTCTTCAGTACTTTGGAGAGGTCTCTGACAGCAGACTTTCCCATTGCAGTTCATCTCCCTAGAGCGCTGTAGTGGACTTAGTATCTGCTTACTACCCCATTGCACAGAGTGCCAGTCATGGGCTCACCAGGCCTCCCTGGGATGTTGGCTCAGTGGGTCTATGCGTCTTTTTTTTGGGGGGGGTGTCTGTGCTTCTAAACATCCGGCTGAGCCCTGCTCCTGGCCACTGTGGGATGCACTGGGTGACGCAGAGCCCGGAGGAAAGACAGGACTGCTGGATATGGCCACTGCAGGAGGAGACTGGGGCTAGCAGTGTCTACAACTGGGGGAGCAGGTCGGGGGACAAGAGGACGCCAGGCGGGTGGTCTGCACAGCCCCCTGTCCTGGTACTCTGTCCACTGGAGGCTCTTACGCCTGGATCAGCCGGCCTTTAGCATGCTCGTGTGCCTAGTGCACGTGGACTTGGCAAGTGCCCAAGGGAAGGGCTTAGAGAGTTAAAGGCGTAATCCTCAGAGGACTAAGGCGCCCCTCCAGCCTGCACCTCCAGGACCCTGTGACCCCTGCCCCCTAATGCTGGCCACTCTGACAGGATCTCCGTAAAGAGTTCTGGGTAGAGAGGGAGAAACATGTGGGGTGAAACAACACACCGAGACACCCGTGGCCCAAAGCCCCCCTTCAGGCAGGAGCTGAACTTAGCCCGGGTCTCAACTTCCAGCTGCACAGTAAACTCAGACCACGTTGCCAGGCAGTGGACCCCCACCCGTAGCTGGCTGCCCGGCAGGCTTTTGGCGGCTGTGGCCCCCATGGGAGAAGGCTGCCCGTCTCGTCCCACAGAGCAGCTGGTGGATTTGAACCTGAGAGCAGGGCAGCCTTGGGGTTAGCAGCACACCTCGCTGCAGACTGAGCCCGCAGAGCCCCCTAAGTCAGAACCAGAAGGGGGAGCAGTGACAGGAGAGAAGGGACGACCACAGCATCAGGAGGGCAGCTGCTGCCCAGGCAGGGAGATGACCCAGGGAGGGGTGGACGTGAGGACGCAGGGAGGGGAGTGAGAGGAGCGCGGTTGCAGGAGGGATTGTCACCATGTCCTGAAACGTGACAGTGTTGTCAGTGTGTGTGAATTGAAGGCTCTGTAAACTTTCACCCAAGCCTGGAGATGGAGACCACTCTCCCTGGCCCCTGGTGGCCTGCAGCCCTAGAGAAGAGAGCTGACCACTCTGCTTCTGCCCTCCTGCCTTCTTGAGTTAGGGGTACTTAACAAGTAGTGTTGGGGTGCTGGCAATACGGGGGGGCATCGCCAATCAGTCTGGCCCCAGAAGTTCCCCATGTGGCCACCTGGGCAGGGGGGCCAGCACTGCAGACAAAGGCAACACTCCATAGCGGGGTCAGACCTGCTAGAACCATTTGACCATCTCCAGCTTTGCCCTGCGTGTGACCTCCTGGCCACTGCCCATACTCTGGCCTCATCTTGCAGTGGAAAACCAGAGGGGGCTTCCTAAGACCCCAGAACCTGGTGCTGGCCGGGTACCCCGCCTTTCTGTATCCCCACCCCTGAAGCTGAACTGTTGTCCTGACTCAACTTGCTCCCTTGGGGACCTCAGGGCCCCTATTTCAAATCAGACCCCTGATATCAGCATGGTCACTGACCGAGGACCACAAGAGGGTACCCCAGGCCTGGACTGTGTCCCTGCTCAGCAGGCTCTTGGTGTGCCCCGGGCTGGAAGAGGGTGTCCTCGGTGCATGGCCCTTTCAGCAGTTGGTTTAGAGCCCAGTGTGAGCAAGGGGGCGGTGGCTCAGAGTTCCTGAGCTTCACGGGTCCCTGATGCTGGGCTGCTAGCACTAGGCCTTAGGGGGATACCTCCTTACACCCCACTTTGTAGATGGGGATCCTCAGATGGGGAGACTGCTCTCCACAGGGGTGACTTTAAGACAGAGCTGTACAACTAATAAAAACTATGTTGGGGGCTTGCTCAGCCTAACCTCCTGGGGGTGTGAGCTTGCACCCTAAGTCTCCCCACTCAGTCTCCTCGAGGCTGTCAGTCACTGCATCCCGCCCTCCAGCTGCTGCCCCCCACCCCAGTTGCTTGCTGCAGTCCTCTGTGGTGTCTGTGTACAATTTTACACATTTAATTTCTCATAAACCGTAAAGAAAGCTTAGCTGCTTTCTAGAGAGATGTTTCATATTCCCTTCCCCAGAACTGGACTCTGCCTTTGACCCTGATGCCCTGCCCCTGAGGGTGACCCCTGTTCTGCATTGCACAAGCCCTTGGACAGCCCCTGCCCTGGGACCCCAGGTCTCTGAGGGACCCGGCTTGTGTGCTCTTGGGGTGACATCTTTGACTTGATGGAAAAGGGCTTAAGGCTGAGCGCTGGGTGGTGGGCAGCAGTGGGTATTAAGTGTCGTCTGGACACAGGATGAAGACCAATGTGAGAAATAGAGGATGGCAGAGGGAGGGAAGAAGGTAAAACGAGCAGGAAGGAGCGGAGAGGTAATGGCCAGAAGGCACACAGGGTGCACCCCGACTGCCAGCAACCGGCCGGGCTCTGATCACTGCACAGCACCACATTGTCCCCCAGGGCAGCTGGTGGATTCGAACTGCTGGCTTGTGGGTTCGCAGGTGAGAGCTTAACCACTGTGCGACCAGGGGTCCTTAAGGAAGGGAGCGACTGCAGGAGGGAGGCCGAGGCCGGTCAGGTTGGGCTCCTTCTCACCTTGGGGTTGGCCTCGAGGTAGTTGTAGAGGACGTTGATGGAGATGGTCAGGTCTCCGTTGTTGAAAGGGTACGACCGATTCCAGCCCTGCGCCCCGAACTTTCTCCGCTCGGCCACCACGGCATGGAAGTAGCACAGGGCAAACAGGATGCCCTTGAACTCGACCTCTTTAGTGCACATCTCCAGGGTGTCCTGGGGAAGGAGCACATAGAGGTCAGCGAAGGACATTCCACCAGGTGGGCCAACGGCAGAGGAGGGAGACAGGCCTGGCGACCTCCCACACCCAGCCTAGGGGAGCCCCTGTGTGTCACAGCAACACCCATCACAGGGGAGAGGTACAGAGTGGTGTGGGGAGTGGGTGCGAGGCCAGGCCACTTGGAGGACAGCATGCAGGTACAGTCCAGTGGGGCGCAGGGTGCTTCCAAGAAGGATTTCTAGAACCCTTTATTAAAGAAGTCTCCCCCTTTTCTCATCTTCTAGAATTGACACTTCCTGTAAGTCGTGAACCCAGACTGGAGGAATTACCCCTTTCTTCCTCTTCTTCATAACCCCTGCTGCCCCCCAACCTCCCATATTCTTCCTGGCAGATGCGGCTGGCTCGTCAGCCCCCCCGACTTCCTGTGGAGACACCCCCAGTCCTGGGGGTGGGATGCAGGCACCATTCTGGGGGTGGGCTTCCCTGCCTAGCTGCCTGCCCTCTCTTGCATGTTCTCAGGAGGGGTCAGCGTCTGGAGAAGGACATCGTGCTTGGTCAGCAGAAGACAAGACCCTCAGGAGATGGACAGACCGTGATGACAGCAGGTTCACACGCAGTGAGTGAACCACAGCACAGGACCAGCAAGTCCTCACCGCTGCTTGGGGGGCGCCGAAAAACAGCCCTTACAACCTCCCCTGGAGGAAAAGTCTCCACGTCACATTCCAGGACAGCCACGTGCAAGTCCCACCCAGGACGTCTGGAGGAGACCGGGGGTTCAAGACCCTTTCCAATCAGGCCCCCTCCGCTGGGCTCCCTGCAGATCGGGGGTGGGGACCACCCATCTTTCTTCCCTAGATCGGCTAGTAGATTAGCTGCTGGAGACCCCCACAGCCTTTGGCAGCGAGTGAACTACAGGCTACGCCACCAGGGCACTGCCCTGCACTGTCCTGTTAGAACTGACTCGGCAGGAGCGGGTTTCTGAAATTTGAGGCCAGCTGGAAGGATCCAGGCCCTGCTGCCTCACATCACCAGGAGAGGTGACTGGATGCCTGGCAAGCCTCTGCTCTTGAGGGCAGATGGGAGGTGACTATCCCCACGCTGGCCCTTGTCCTTGGAGGTCGATGGCTTTCCTTCCCCCTCAGCAGCTGTCAGTCTTGCTGTCCTGGCCGCCATTGCCAATGCCTGTCCTGACTGCTGAGGGCCAGCAGGGCCCAGGCGTGGCTAGCTCTCAGCCCTGGTGATGGCACCAGAGCCTGTCAGAGTGTGCTGGTGGCCAAGATGACCGCCTGTCTGCGGCCCAACCCTCCAGGCCATGCTGGGGAAGGCAGCCCGCTGTTCGTCTTGACCCCTCACTTCCCTGCCTAAGGCTGGACCAGGGGCCAATCTCTTCCAAGTTCCAGCAAGGGCAAGGTCCACCCCTCTGCCCACCGTGGACGGACACTCCTGTGGCCCACAACCAAAGTGAGACCCTCCCTGCGGCCCTGGCCCAGAAGGACAAGGTGGTGCCCACTCCAACTGCTGGCCACTCAGAAGAGATCCCGGGGGCCAGTCCTGGACAGGGTGGGGGATAAAGGCGGAACAAAACTCAAAATCACAGTGCTCGCTTCGCCAGTGCATATACTAAAACTGGAGGGAACCGGAGACGATCAGCCTGGCCCTGGCGCAAGGAGGTCACGCAAATTTGTGACGCGTCCCGTGTTGCTGAGTCTCATTCCTGCTCGTCAGGCGGAGGGCTCTGGGGACCAAGAAAACCACAACAGCCCTCAAGATCACAACAACGGCCAGTCCCTTAGAGATTGGAGGAACCCCAGAGCCTCCGGCCCTCAGGTTCTCTTCACACCTGGAACAAAATATACCCCGTGGCTCAACTTTCAACCAGGTGAACAGTGTCCCTAGGGAGGAACAGTCATAATATGATAAAAAAAATGAAGAAAAAAAAAAGTGATTGGAAGTGTGGCTGCCCCTCGCCCACTGGGGGGGGGGAAGTTTAAAACCCCCCTGAATCACTTGTCCAGGGACAAAGCTCGGAAGGCAGGAGGAGGAAGGGAGAAGTATGAATGGGAGTGGGCACCACAGGGAGGAAGGTGGAAGACTGAGGCTATGACAAGGGTATTTGGATCATTGTCAAATGTGGGTGAGCAGTTAAAAGGGGAACCAGTTTGCTCCTCCTGGCTGGGAAGACGCTCACAGTCTGCCTGGGCGACGAGGCCCCCACCTGGGTGAAGAGGCCCCCACCTGAGCGACGAGGCCCCCACCTGGGCGACGAGGCCCCCACCTGGGTGAAGAGGTCCAGCGCCTTGTGCAGGTTGGCGTGCATGCCGGTCGGCGGCTCGTTGGTGATCTTGATGGAGTTTTCCAGGATGCCCTGGGGGATGATGTGGGACTCGGGGCTGGGCGCCGGCTCCGCACTGATGAACACGCGGTAATCCTCGTGGCTGCCGGTGCTGTACCTCTCCACCTTCTTGTCCAGGGTGTTCAGCCAGCGTGCCACCAGGTGGATGTTCTGAGGCCGAGACCAGGCGCTCAGCGCTGGTGCACTCCCGGCCGGGCCCAGCCCCCCGCTGTCTCGCCGCCCTGGCCTGCCCCACGCTCAGCGGCCCGGCCCCAGCCCCCAACTGTCCTGTGAGCTCAGCGGCTGTCCCCCGGCCCCCCAGGGTCTAGCAGCCTTTGCCTGCCCCACGCTCAGCTCAGCGGCCCGGCCCCAGCCCCGCTGTCTCCCAGCGGCTGTCCCCCGGCCCCCCGCTGTCTCATCGCCCTGGCCTGCTCCACCTGTGCTCAGCAGCCCTGCTCTCCTCACCAACGCCCACCCTCCCCGGGGAGCTGCCCAGAGGACAGCAGCCTGGCCCCGGTCAGTTCACCCCCTCCGCCTCTGAGTCAGCTGTGGGTATAAACCAGAGGCGATGTGGCCCCCAGCCCTAAGCAGCCCCTCCTCGGAGGATCTGGGTGGAAAGGAACACTCTGAAGGCAAGTGGGACCAGGCCAGACACTGGATGAGACCCACATGAAGCCCTGGCAGGGCCCAAGGGGGACTGTGGGGTCAGCTGGTAGCTAGAAGGGTCCCAGGGAATGCTAGAGGTTGAATTTTGTCCCCCTAAAGTATGTGTCCCTGGAAAAAGGCATCATGCTGGGGGTGGCAGAGGGTCAGAGAAAGAGAGGATGACCCTCAACGAGATGGACGACACGTGACCACAACGTTGGGCTAAAGGGGGGTGGAGACTGCTGGGGGCAGGCAGGACGGGGTGAGATGCCAGGTTGTTGTTGTTGTTTAAGATCAAGTATAATTATAAACAACACATACAAAGTCACAAACAACAACGCACTAAGAGGACACTGAGATGCAGGGAGGGAGGGGGGTTCGCTCTATCTGCTAACGGAAGGCTTCTCTGCGGAGGCATGACGTAAAACTGTAATACACGGAAGACTCGGAGCAGCCCCACTCCTGTTCTCTGGGTGAGTCCTCGTGGACTCGATGGCAGCTAACAACAACAACAACAACAACAACAACAACAGGGTCACAGCCCGGCTCCCGTGTTGGCCCAGGCCCTCGTACCTGCAGAATGACCCAGTGTCCCTGCTCTGCAGCCATGTCCAGCGCGTTCTCAGCCACCACCTCTTGCCCCTGGCCCAGGGACACATTGTGGAGCTTGCCATTGTCTATGGTAAATCCTAGTTTTTTTCCTGAGGAAAGAAAACCAGACAGATACAGGATGGTGGTTATACAGATGGCGGGGCCTGGCCTCCACACCTGGCCCCTTACCTGTGGGAGACGCACAAACCTCACCACTTCAGCACCTTTAACGTGTACAACCGAGGGGGACTCAACATAACACAGTGTGTTGCTGCCTTCTCTATCTAATTCCAGAACATTCTCAGCCCCCCAGGAGACCCCAGATTCAGCTCCACAGTGGCACCCCACTCTTCTGTCCCCCAGACCCTAGGAACCTCAGCATTCTGTTCTGGATTTTTCTATCCTGGGCCCCAGGGCTGCCAAGGCTCACCACGTCCTGCTGTGCAGTGACTCCATTCCTTCCAAAGTCATTGTCGTTGTGTACTACTGAGGCGGGACCGACCCACAGCTGACCATCCAGTGGGTTTTCAGAGGCAGTAGGTCTCAGAGGAGAATGGCATCTCTCTCCCAGGGAGCAGTTGTTGTTTGTTGTTACGTGTCGTCGAGTCGCCTGCGACTCATAGCGATCGTATGTACAATAGCCCTAAGCTCTGCCCTATCCTGTGCCAATATCACCATCTCTGACACACCTACCCCCCATAACCCCAGTCACTGAATCAATCCACCTCATAGAGGGTCTTCCTCTCCTGTGCTATCCCTTCACCCTCCCAAACATGACGTCCCTCCCCAAGGCCTGGTCCTTCCTTGCAACATGTCCAAAGTATGTTAGATGAGGTTTCAGAATCTTTGCCTCCAAGGATCAGCCTTGGATAAACTTGTTTATTCTTTTAGCAGGTCATAGTATATTCAATATTCTTCTCCAGCACCACAGCTCAAAGGCATCAATTCTCCTTCTATCTTCCCTAGTCATTGTCCAACTCTCTGCTGCGTAACAAGTGATTGCAAAGACCATGGTCTGTATCAGGTGCACCTTACTCTCCAGAGTGACATCGTTGCTCTTCAGTACTTTAGAGAACTAGTGGGCTTAAACCGCGTACCTTTGTGCTGGCAGCACAATTCCTTATCACTAGGCCGTCAGAGCCCCCATGTGGTACCACAGAATATTCCCTTTGTCCACTGGATGGCCAGACCCCCTTCACTCAGTCTCTCATGGGATGGTGACACTTGAGTTGCTGTTGCCTTTGGACGGTGTGAACGGCACCACCGTGAGCCTGCCACCTGCCACCTGCGGCCCATGCCCGCCTTGGAGGGAAGCACTGGGCGGGATGGACGTGGTGGTTGCGGTCGCGGCTCATGCCTGGGGACATGGTGACACGGTGAGGACCGGGCAGCCTGTGAGGCTCCTTGCTGTATGCGGGTTATCGAGAGCTGACTCGGGCACCTAACAACGTGGTCATTCTCTGCTTAGCCTTGGAGGGACTCCACGCTCGTGTCCGGAGTGGTGACTGGTGTCCACTCCTCCAGGGCTGTGTGAGCTGGTGGGTGCTCCCTGTCACCCCACTTCCATGTGTCCTGTCTGTGGGGGTGATGTGGCATCTCGGGGCTGTGGCTGGCGAGGCTGACGGGCACCCCATCGCTCACCCCTTCTGTGAACACACTTACCCAAGGCCTCCACGTCTTTCAAGGGGTCGACCCCCGGGGAGAGGATGAAGAAGACGGGGGTGGAGGGGCTGCTCTCTTCATAGGACTTGGAGAACTCCATGCTCCGGCCCTCCACAAACCTGCTGCCCATCTTTTCCTCCACGAAGTTCCTGGGGGCAGGGGTGAGCCAGGTCAAGACTGGAGGGCTTCAGGGTGTGCCCCAGGGCGAGGGTGAGGTGTGTGTGTGTGTACTGGAGGGCTTTGGGGCAGTGCCCTAGGAAGGGGTGAGCTGGGTCAGGACTGGAGGGCTTGGGGCGGTGACCCAGGGAGGGGGGGGGGGGGGGTCAGGATTGGGGGGCTTGGGGGCAGTGCCCCAGGGCGAGGGTGAGGGGTGTGTGTGTGTGTGTGTGTGTGTGTGTATGAGGACTGGAGGGCTTCAGGGCAGTGCCCCTGGGAGGTGGTGAGTGTGTGTGTGTGTGTGTGTGTGTGT